AGGTTCCCTTGACAACTGGTTTCCTGCCATGTCCAGCCAATGAGAGCCAGGCACGAAGTGCTACACCTCTGCTCTTGCTCAGATGCTCCTGTCACTGCCCGTGTCACCTCCGTGGCCCCTGCTGCTGCCGTGCCCCCTCCTCAGCTCATGGGACAGGCCTGTTGTGTTTCCAGCTCTGCCAGTGGCCCCAGCTCTGCTCACATCACCCCTTCCCATTGTCCTTCCCACCCTACAAGGGCAGAGGCTCTTGCTGTGGCTGTTCTCTGGGGACCCTCACCATCATCTCCTTTTTCAGGGTTTCCCACACTTTTACACCTACTTGCTATGTTCAGTCCCCTCTGCTGAATCTTTCCAGAGGCGTGGACCCTCCTGACGGAGTGACTAAGGTGGTGGAGGCAGAGGTGCAGGCGGGGCTGATCCCTCGGGGGCCTTGGAGACCCTGGGAAGGATGTGGATTTCATTCTAGGTGCGGGGGTGCCCAGGAGGCGGGTCAGCTGGGAGCCATGTGTGCTGGGTGGCGACTGGCTGAAGTGGGGAGCAGTGGGGGGTCCAGGGGGTAGAGGAGGTTAAGGCAGGGGCTCTGGAAACTGGGGAGAAAGAGGGATGTGTGGCCACTTGTCAGCTGAGGGACCGACAGGGCTGGGTGAGCGTGGGCTCTGAGGGGAGAGGGGGGACCCAGGATGACTCTCAGGTCTGGGCCCCCCTCCCCGTCCCCCACCGATCACCTCCACCACGGCCTCTGTGTCCATCCCAGCCTGGTCAGTCTCAGAACTAGCATCCTTATTTCTTCCCTCATGTGTTTATCCGTTTATGCCTTTGCTCATGACCTGCTTTCCCCACTGCAGTGCAAGCCCCAGGCTTGGCACACAGTGGGCGCTTAATACATGCTTGATGCAGATGGGGGCCCAGGCCTTCTGGGGTCAGCACTGTCTTGCCAGCTGTGCAGTGTTGGGCAGTCACTTTTCCTCATCGTGATAACCAGGATGCCCACAGGCTGCTCTGCGGGTTCAGCGCCTGCATGCAGCAGGTGCCCAATAAAGGCAGCTCCGTTCTTCCCCCCTTAACCATCCACTCTTCTGTGAGTGCTCCACTGCCCCAGACAGGCATTCTGATCTTTGGTTCATCTCTAGAGCATCTGGAGTTTGCCAGTCCTCTGTTAGATGCCGGGGACCCCGACACGAGCAGGACCGTCAACTCTTGTCTCCGTGGACCTCACCACTTAGACAGCGTGCCGCTTCCAGCCCAGGAGACCCTCTGCTGTCCTCTCTGTGCACTTCCTGCCGTGTGTCGGGGCCTGTGTGAAGCCCACACCCCCTCCCGTCCAACTTCACAAGGCACAGGCTGTTTGCAGGTTACAGGGGAGCCACGTTTAACACAGGATGCAAGTTCACTTAATACACTGACAACCCAATGGGCTGAACGTGTGTTAAAGTTATAAAGCTCTTATATAAAAAGACAGGGAAGTAAACCCTTCAGGCAATCAGGGTCTCTCAGTTTGTCCCCCACCAACACACACACCATTCTGCTCTGTAGGTTTGACAGCTGTTTTAAACCAGAAAGGTCTGAAGACCCCGACGTCTGCAGGCAAGTTTCTGCTGGTTCCTCCTTTGGTCTCTGCCTCAGTGCTATTCAGACCACCGCACAGAAGGATATGTGAGGTTACCTGCGCAGGCTGTGGGGCTCCAGATTATGGGGTATCTGAGGGGATTTCAAGGGTCCTTTTGATCCCCTCTCATTTTTACCTTACGGCCTCACTTTATAATTCAAGTGCCATGGAAAATACGACCTTCCAATCTAGCTTGCCTTATGTTCTGTATAACCATTTCAAGACGGGCTGGCCAGGATGTTAGCAAGGGAGGGACCATATCTCCTTTTTTAAGTGTTCCCTATCGTGCTTGAGGCTGGCTTGAGGCTGGCTTTGGTTGGGTTTGGTGAAAGTTGTGACGAAGAGTTGGTTGATTGGTGGGGTTGGTTGATGGTGAGATTGGTTGATAATAGGGTTGGTTGATGGTGACACTGGTTGATAATAGGGTTGGTTGATGGTGAGATTGGTTGATAATAGGGTTGGTTGATGGTGAGATTGGTTGATAATAGGGTTGGTTGATGGTGAGATTGGTTGATAATAGGGTTGGTTGATGGTGAGATTGGTTGATAATAGGGTTGGTTGATGGTGAGATTGGTTGATAATAGGGTTGGTTGATGGTGAGATTGGTTGATAATAGGGTTGGTTGATGGTGAGATTGGTTGATAATAGGGTTGGTTGATGGTGAGATTGGTTGATAATAGGGTTGGTTGATGGTGAGATTGGTTGATAATAGGGTTGGTTGATGGTGAGATTGGTTGATAATAGGGTTGGTTGATGGTGAGATTGGTTGATAATAGGGTTGGTTGATGGTGGCGTTGACTGATGGTGGGGTTGGAAGGCATATGGTACAGAGTTGGGTAGGTGTGGGTCTGAGGCTAGGGCTGGACTCCCATTTATCAGAAGCTCTAGGCCGAGTGTGTGTGCAGAAAACAGGGAACGATTTCAGCCAGTGTGGCTGCCAGGTGCAGCCCTCACGCCTGGACGTTTCTACCTTGTGCAGTGAACTCTCACGTGAGCCTCCTGGAAGCTCCCTGCAGCTCTGTGAGCGGAGGAGCTAAACTTTTATTATCTCTCTAAGAGGTATGCGAACAGTGATGTAGATTAAATACGTCTTTTATGGTGAATCACTGGGGGAGTCAGGGGAGTAGACTTGAGGGCTGTTTCTACCCTAAAACCTTCAGCAAATACCTGTGGAAAACCATCATTCTCAGTAGTACCCTGCTGTTCTCAGAGCTGTGGTTGATGCGACGGTGGAAGTTTCAGGAACGTGATCTCTGTCCTTAGAGAGCTCGCCATCTCTCTGGGAGTAGGAAGACTCTCCCGTGAAATGGGACAGTAGTATCAGAGTGGGACGCGTCCCACTGCGGGGCTGTGAGATGTTTGGGCAGTACAGCGATGAACAGGGACGGGTAGAGCTGAGACTTCGGGGTGCGAGGACTCATGCGGAGAACCTGGGCTCAGGGCCAGACTAGGAACGGGACGTCCCAGTGGCAATGGGGTGAAGGTGTCACGGGGGCCAGGCTAGCTCTTGGATACTGACGTGTTGCTATCCTTCATTTGCTCCCATTTCCATTGATTATTTAAGTTAATTTCAGTTAGGTGAGTTCTGCAGAGGTGCACCTTAGTTTCCAAGAACGGTTGACGGTCTGTGATGCCCATAAACTCTGGTATTCCCTACA